GCTGTAGCCATAATAGAAAAACTATCTCCACAATCATTACTCTGTTGTTCTTGAATTTTCAATTTTATTGATTTTGCCCTTATTATCAGAAAACATACCTTATAGACGTCATTGCTTTTACTTTCATTAAAGTTTGTTTTATGATGTAGGTTTATGATGTGGTTTAGGTTGGGCAATTTTCCTTGTGTATTGGAAGAGATATTCTACTTTTGTTGAATGGAATTTTATTATAAATTTCAGTTTGACTCAGTTGGTTGATAGTGTTATTTAGTTATTTTATTGTCTTGCTCTTTTTCTCTTATATTACTATTTATTAATGAGACTGGAGTGTTGAGATCTCTAACTCTCTCCTTTCTATTTTATATTGTTTCCTTTATTTTGAGGTAGCTATGGTTGAAGCATGGACATTTAAGATAATTATGTTTTCTTGATGAAATGACACTTTTGTTATTATGTGATTTTCCTCTTTATCCATGGTAATTTCCCCTACTCTTAAATTCTACCTTTTCTGCTCTTACTATAAGTATTCCAGCTTTTTTATGATTTATATTTGCATTTTTTATTTATTTTTTATGATACCAACATCATTATGGTTAGTGAATTTCTTTAGACTGCACATAATTGCCTAATTTTAAAATTCTTTCTCACACTCTTGTCTTTTGAATGGTGTCCTTAGCTAATATACACTTAATTAATTATCGATATTTTGAATTAGAAGTTATTTTGCTATTTTTCTGTTTCCTCTGACTTTTATTACTTTCCCCCTTTTTTGACTTTTTTGAATTCTTTTTATAAACTGTCACGTTTTTTCTTTTGAATTTTTAATTAAATAGCCTTTTTTTTAGTATTTACTCTAGGAATTAACAAAATATGTAACTGTTCACAATTTAGAATAAATGTTGTACTACTTCAAGTTGAACTGAGAATCTATCACTATATCCTTCTTTGCTGTATTTTTATTATGTTTACATCTACATCAGTTGAAAACCTTATGAGAAAATTTTATAATTTTCCTTTCAACTATTAAGTGAATTTTAAAGAATTCAAAAGAAGAAAAGTCTTTTATTTGCTCTATTATTTACCATTTTTGTTGTTCTTCCTTTATTACTAATATTCCAAGCTTCCTTCTGTCTGAAGAACCTCTGTTAATAACTTTGTTTCAATAGTAAGTGTAGTCAAAAAAACTTGCTTAGTCTTCCTTTATCTGAGAATGTTTTTATTATATCTTTACTCCTGAAAGATATTTTTCTGGATATAGAAATTTGTATTTGATAGTTTTGTTTTTTTTTTTAGCTTTAGAAAATGTTCCTGTTTTCCTTAGCTTATGTGGTTTCTGACAATAGAATTTTTTCTTTTTCTTTGGTTTTTACCAATGTAATTGTTTTGTTTATGCAGTGGTTTTAATTGGGGGGGGGATTGATTGGGTTACTTGAGTCTGTAGGAGTTTCATTTACCAAATTTTGGGGAAATTTTGATTAGCATTTCTTCATAATTATTTTTGGAACTGTGTCTTCAATTCCTTCAGTGACTTTGAAATAAATGTCAGATCTTTTGGTATTGTCCTACAAGGCCTAAGAACTCTTCATTTTTTTCCACTTTTTTTTTTTCCTCTCTGTAGTGTCATTGATATTTCCTATTGATCTATTTTCTATGGGCTCTGAAATTTGATTGCTTATAATTTTCATGTGCCATGAATTCTTTTTTTCTCTTTTCCACTTAAAAATGTGAAGCCATTTTTAGATCTTGATTCATGCAAAGATAGGCATTGAGCCAATTTGTCCTATAGGCATAGTTTACAATCCTAATTTAATCCTGTAAGTGTTGGAGATGATTGGAAGTTGGGTTTTAATTCCTTTCATTTATTGAAAGTGTGAGGTATTATATAGGGTTTCTTCTCTTTGGCAGGTTGCTTATTCACTACTTTCACAATAAGCCTATGTATTTAAGGTAAAAGCACCCTTAACTGCTTGACTTGGTTTCCCTTCTTACTCTAAAGTTATACTTCTCATGTCTTTACTAATTCAGTAACTCCAGTTTTCAAGAAAAATTTTGGATTTTTAATTTTTTATAAATTACATCAAACTTTTTCAGTGGCTTTCAACAGTAGAATTTGTCTGATTTCCCTATTTTACCATTGTGTGAATTGGAAAAACTTTCAACAAATACCTTTTGCAACCTCAAAATAATAAATCCTGCATGCCAGCTTCAGCTTGTTTTCTTTGAGGAATAACTTTTGATAACATACCTGAGGGAAAACTTGACCCAAAAGTGCTATTTAGGTATTCAGTAACATTTTTTTTTTTATTCTTTAAAATTTTTTACAAAAAAACATACTTTATGGATATCTACACAATAAGATGCACAGGTGTTAAATGTATGGTTCAAGGAAATCAAACATTTCCATATCCACCCAGAGTTCCTTTTTTTTTTTTTTAAAGATTTATTTATTTATCTATACAAGAATCAGGGTACAGGCCAGATGTGCGGGAGGGTAAGAGGATTCAAAGGAGACAGAGTAGGGAACAGAAGAGGCAGACGGACTAAATACCCTGCTGAGGAGAGCAAAGGGCACGACAGGAGAGTCTGCTGCGCCATGTGGGACTGTAGCTGGCTGGCCAGGATCCAACCGGCCCTGCAGAGGCTGCGGACAGCGTCACAGCGCAGTGCTCAACCACCTGCGCCATCAGAGGAGGCCCCCTGAGTTCCTTTTTTCTCTTTACAGTCAATTTTCCCCAATTTCTGCAGCAGCCAATGCTTTTTTGATTTAGTGCATTATAGATTAATTGTTCATTTCTAAAATTTTAAATAAATGAAACCATTATGCATGCATATAAATTGTATCTGGTCTTAGCTTTGAAAATGTTTCAGAAACCCTCTGTTGTTGCATATATCTATAGTAAATTTATTTTTATTGCTGCATATTAATTGTTTAAATATATCAAAATTTGTTTATCAGTCCTCCTTTTGTCATTGGATTGTTTCTACTTTTTGAATGATATAAGTAGAACAACCTCACGTATTTCTTACTTTTTTTTTAAGATTTAATTATTTATTTATACAAGCACTGGGTACAGTCAGAAATGGGGGAGGGTGAGAGAATTCACCAGAGCCAGAGCTGGGAACAGAACAGGTAGACGGAAGAAACACACTGCTGAGGGGAGCAGCGGGCGGCAGGAGAGGTCTGCACGCCATGTGGGACTCTTGCCAGCGGCCGGGAATCAAACCCCCGCTGGAGAGGCTGCATGCAGCTTTGCAGCCCAGTGCTCATCAGCTGCTCCACCAGGGAAGGGCTACCGTCACATATTTCTGATAAATCTTTTTGTGGATGTATGTTTTCACTTCTTTCAGTTTAATTACCTAGGAATATAATAGGGATATAATTCTGAGTCATAAGTTAGGTATATGTTTAAATTTGTAAAAACAAAACAAAACAAACTGCGAACTGTGTTCCAAAAGGCTTAGCAACTTGCATCTACACTAACAATGTAAAGGGACTCCACTTGACTACATCCTTGCAATCACATGTTACTGTTAATCTTTTTTCATTTTAGTTATTTAATGGGTGTCAAATGACAACTTATTGTGCCTTATAGTTGTATGTCACTGATGGCTAATGATGGTAAATATCTTTTGATGTGCTTCTTGTCAATTTTCCATCTTTTGTTGTTGTTGCTTTTGCCCAATTTCCTGAAATTGGGTTGTTTATCATCATGTTACTGTGAATTCTCTATATGTTCTTCATGCAAATTATTTTTCAGATATATGTTATAAGAAATATTCTCCCAGGTTGTAATTTGCCTTTTCATCTTTTAAATGATACCTTTGGAGAAGACATGTTTTTAATTGTGATGAATTCTAGTTGTTCCTTCTTTCTTTTATAGTTATTGCTTTCTGTGTCCTAAGAAATCTTTCTTTACTCTCTTGATCATGGGGATACTCTCTTATGATTTGTTCCAGGAGCTTTATAGCTTTAATTTTTTTTCAGATTGAAAGCTGTTGTTTTTTTAAAGCCAATGTTATCCTCTTTGTTGACTTATCAGAGGGTTGTGTTTGTCATATAGTGTTTCAGAAGGTAAAGTACTTCAAATGGCTATGCAGAACAATTTAAAATTCATGTTTAAGATGGATTTTTACCTCAAGATGTTTAATTAATTGTTACAAATCATTCTGTTTGTCCTAATTATATTTCAATCTGTGTAATAGGGGATACAAACTTTAACATTAATGGAAAGTCAAGTCATGAATAAAATGTATCGCTTCAGGATTTTTCTCTTCTCTCTATGCCTCCTTTCCTTCTTTCAATTCTTCTTTATTTCATTTCTTTTTTCAGCCTTTAAAAAATCTATGTAAGTTTTAACATATAGCTTAATACCTGAGATTTTTAGATGATAATTTTGCCTAAGTCGTAATTAGTTCTTCAGATCAGATAATGAATGCTCTTTTATAATGACATGTTTGTATCATGGCTTTTGTGTATCCTAGTCATGTTATAATTGATGTTTGTTGATTTATTATAGTAGAGAAAAAAACATGGGGAAAATCTGGATACCTGCAGTGTCACAGATAGCAGTAACTCATGACCATTTTATATGGAAAATGAACTCTTAGTAATATGGTTTCAGTAGAAAAATAATTCTCTGTCATCAAGTGAGAATTGGAAAGTTTGCATTGTAAAATGGAATTCTCTCTTGTACTGATAACACATTTTTGAAATGACAATAATATAACCTAAGTCTTATGGGGAAAGGAAAGTACATGCTGTTCTAGTTACAAAGATTTCTGATAGACGTTTGCTTTAATATAGATTTTAAAATACCATTGTGTAGCATTTCTTAAATCTGTTTTATAGCTTCTTCTGGTTACAAGTTTTTAGTGTGCTGTTGACTGAATGGTCTAAATGAAATATCTCTCTGGATCTATTTCCCACTTCCTCAGATGTATCTTATAGGAAATGAACTCTTACATGGACTAAAAATGTCTATTATTTTCCTTTGCCATAGGATAAGAAGTGGATTCTCAAACATGAAGATGTCATATTGGGAGAATTACTGGGCAAGGTATGTAATCAACTGATTTAACTAATCAAATGTCTTTTTTTATAAGATTTATTTATTTATGCATATAAGAACTGGGGTGTAAGCGAGAGGTGAGGTGGGTGAGAGGATTCACCAGAGACGGAGCGGGGAACAGAACAGGACGAGTAACTGAAATACACTGCTGAAGAGAGCAGCGGGCGAGTCAGGAGAGATCTGCTATACCATGTGGGTAGCTCCCTGGCCGGGGATTGAACTCAGGCTGCAGTGACTGCGGACAGCTCCATAGGTAACGTTAAGACTATGAACACTGGGGCCTCCCCGGTAGTACAGCGGTTGAGCGCTGGGTTGCGGAGCTGCCCGCCGCCTCTGCAGCACCGGTTCAATCCCCGGGCACAGGGAGAGGGTCCCACATGGTGTGCAGACCTCTCCTGCCTCCCACTGCTCCCCTCAGCAGTGTACTTCTTCAGTCTGCCTTCTCTGCTTCCTGCTCTGGCTCTAGTGAATTCTCTCACCCTCTTGCGCTTCTGACTGTATCCAGTGCTTATATAAATAAATAAATCTTTAAAAAAATAATAAAAAAAAGAAAGTTGTTTTAAAAAAAAAAGACTATGAACACTGCCGATGTCCTCATTTTCTTCCTTTTTATATATTGCAGTGTATAGTAAGGCATATTCTCACATTAACCTGGAAGAGTACAATACCACATCTGTTATAAATATGTGATGCTCACTGAAATAAATGTATGAAAATCTTTAAAAGCTTTAAGGGTGTTTCTTGACTTTTAAAAATATGTAGACTTTCCTCTGGGAGAATTAAAAGCTATAATGATTTTATTACTATGTAGTAAATCCAAAACTAGTGAGTTGCCATTTGAAAAGAAACTGAGGTAATACAAGTTTAAATAAGCATCTAATAGTATTATTCCATTTGTTTCTAGTTAAAACACAATAGTTCAGAAAAAGAGAAATGCTGTTCTTTTGGCATTTCAGGATATTATAAAGCATCACAGAATAGGATAAAATTGGGCACATTATTTTATTCTAAATTTTTTTGTACAATGGATTTGTTCCACTATATTGATTTTATAACTAGCACTGTGGTCAGAGAGGGCAGCTATATATAATTAAAGTTCCTTTCTACCCACCTAGTTTGAAAAGTCAAGAATCATCCTTAACATTTCAAAAGTTGTCACATATTGTTATTCCAATGCATACACCTTATGAAGGTATATTATGTCTAACAATAATGCACAGATACTTGAAATTTTATCAAAGGAACTATTGCAAATGTATTAATGGTTTATTGCAATTATACTCCAATTGAATAAATATTGACTTCATTGTCAATGGCTTTATCCATATGAAATTTTGAATAGAGTTTAAGTTCATAATGCTTTGTGAAAAGTAGTTTATAATAGAGATATTTAGGGAAAATTTTCAGTCATATACTTTTGGGTCATCAGGCTAGTTAAGCATTAACATTTTTTTTTAAAGATTTATCTATGTATACAAGAGCTGGGGTACAGGCCAGAGATGTGGGGGGTGAGAGGATTCACCAGAGACAGAGTGGGAAACAGAACAGGCAGACTGACAAAATACACTGCTGAGAGGAGCAGCGGGTGAGACAGGAGAGGCCTGCTGCGCCATGTGGGTTGCTCCCCTGCTGGCCAGGGATCTAACGTGTGCTGCAGAGGCTGCAAATTGCTTCATAGTGCGGTGCTTAACCCCTTGTGCCACCAGGGAGGCCCAAGGCTTAGCATTTTAATAAAAATTTAAACGATTATATATCAATTTTTGTTTCAATTGTAAACTCAATGTCAACAATTTTTTTCATTTTGTAGCTCTATTGTCTGTTGAGAAAGCAATTCTCTATTGAACTCTACTAAGAAATTCCCTGTTGAAATTCATGAGTCTTATCTAAATATCTTTTCCAAATTGAAGTATAAGATTGCTATTGAAAGCAATTTCTTTTGATTGTTAATACATATTTAGTAAGCAAATTCTAAAGAATCTCAAGTTAAAACAGTAGTTGATGTACTTATTTCCTGTGTGATGTGCTCATCATTCTAATAGAAGTTATCCTTTTTATTTTTTTATTTCTATCTTTTTTAAATTTTTGAAAAATTTTGTTACATCATTGATCATTTTTGTACGTAATTGTTTCTCTCCTCAGAGGTAGCCTCCATAGTTCTCCCACCACCATATAAAGTATGACCCATCACCATTTTCCCTATGTTCTTCCCTCCCCTTTTTTAACCTCCTTTCTTCCTCCTCCCTTGTTGTATGTATCAGATTCACAGTTAACTTGCTGGTTTTGTCTTTATTTTTTTAATGCTATTTTAAACTACTTACTCAGTAGCAGTGATTGAATCAAAAATTATTAGAAAGAAATTAAATACATTTCCATAAAAATACAATTGAATAATAAGTTGTAAAATTAAATCACTTCCTGAAATAAAATGTGTTGAAGGACAGATTTTGCAGCAGTAAGGTAAAAATATTTTCAACTAAAGAAAATTTTTTTATTATTTTCATGTTTAATGTGCAAAATACAGCATATCAAGAGGAATTTTAGTCTTTAACTCCTTAGTAAGGCTATTTCAATGAATAATTTTCACAGTCAAAAGGCAGTGACATTAATTATTTTTAACAAAAGACTGCAACTTTAAAGACACTATATATCTTAATTTCAGCTAATATTTTTGAGTAGAAAATGACTTGCCATTCTGAATATCTATTTGTAGTGTATTGCTTGAGAATACATGTGGAAAGGAAAATTTGCCATGGTTCCTAAACTTATGGACTTTGAATTTTGTAGACTATGAGGTTAGATATGAATCTAACTTTTTTTTATTTAGTAGTTTGTTCTTGGTGTTCAATAAATATTTTATTCAGTGCTCAAGTATTTGTGAACAAAGCACATAAACTTGCTCTCATATGACTTATAGTCTGTCTACCTGGGGAAAATTAAACAGTAAGCATCATAAGAAAGTGAATTTTATAATGGTAGAGGGAGCTAAGCCCTGTGAAAAATATAAGGAGTTTGGAAGTACTATTTGCCAGAGTTGCAAAGTCTTATTAAAATGTTTTTTCAAATGAAATAATAGAGACAGGATTTAACCATGTGGATATCTGAGGAAGAGGTTTCTAGGCCAGGGAGCAATGAGGCAAATGAAATTTGTAGCAAAGGAGACAGTTTGGCTACAAGTGAGAAAGTAAGGGAGGAGCATGATAAGAAAGGAAGTCAGGGTGGTGGATTGTGTAGGCCCTTGGAGGTAATCTTCATTTCTTGACCTTCATTATATATGGAAAAGTCTGGTGAATGATTTTGAGTGGACCCTGGCATGATTGATCTCACTTTTTAAAAATATCTATCTGTTGTGTTGAGAATGTAAATTATCTGGAGAATTGTAATATGGCTATTAGGCAGAATGAAGGGCCCACAAGAGGTTTTTGTTCCTCAATTTTAAGGGAAACCAGTCAACATTATAGAGGAGATGCATCATTGGCAATGTCAAAGTTTAAGGTATGATCATAGAAAGTAGTATGAAGTGTAGATCATTGAAAGAGAGATGTTTAAGAAACAGTTGAAAGTATTGAGATAATCTGTAAGTGTTTATTGAAATTGCTAAGAATTAAGGCTGGAATAAAATTAGTGATCCTAAAATCAAATTTTTAATCATAGGGAGTAATAATTTCCAATTCATTAGCTGATGGCCACAATAAGGGATCAGTGTGTACATAATTAAATGGTAAAATTTTAAAACTGGGTGTTTTTTGGAAAGCAATAAGGAAAATGCTTTGAAAACAATGACAATGCTGTTGTAGGGTGTTTTATTTCATCTCCAGAGCAGTGGGAGAATGATTGGGTAGGGGATACTCATTTAAATATGTTCTCAAGTTTCTACTATAACTAGAAGGTAAAGAGAGTAGCCAAAGAATAGATAGAACATGAAATATTGATGAAGATTACTATGAATTCCAGAAGGCACAGTGAAGTTTCAGATAGAAGGGAAAAAGGCAAAGAATGAGGCTTTCTAGCAGGGTGTGGAAACTAATGTAGCAGTGTGCAGAAATGTAGTAGTGTGCAGAAACTAATGAGAATTATAGAGAGTGACGTAGGATTAAATTTGGACCAAGATCTTCATATGTGGACTGACATAAACATAGATATGAAACATAATGAGATTTAGCCTTTTGGATATAAGATCAATAGCAGAAACAAAACTGTGTCTGTTAAATGTTGTGATGGGCATCATAAGTTTCATCTGAACTCTTTGCATGGAAAAGAGGTATTCTGGGAAGCATAATCTCTTTTCTCAGTATTGGAGGTGACAAACATTGATAGAGTTGAAGTCCTCTGAGTATTGGGTTTTGTTTTAAACATTAATCATTTTTAAACAATATTTGCTTCCCCCCCTCAGTTGTAGTCCCCATATAATTTCCTTCACCAGTGCACCCATGCACCATCACCACAATCCTCTGGGCTTCTTCCTCCCTCCCTCTGATCTCTCTCCCTACTTCTCCCCTGCAGGATGTCTCAAATTGATAACTGTTTTTGTTTTGTTGTGTTTTATATTGTTATTTTTTACATTGATGTCTTATTTGGTTTACCTATATTCCTGCTGTAAGTGAAACCATCTGGTATTTTTCTTTCTCCTTCTGACTTATTTCACTGAGCATAATTCCTTCTAGCTCCTCCATGTTGCTGCGAATGGCATGAGTTTATCTTTTTTGATTGCTGAGTAATATTCCATTGTGTATATATACCACATCTTCTTGATCCAGTCATCTATTTTTGGACATTTGGGTTGTTTCCAGGTTTTATCTATTGTAAATAGTGCTGCAATAAACATAGGAGTACAGATTTATGATGAATCTGTTCTTTTGAATCAATGTTCTTGTGTCCTTTGGGTAGATCCCTAGGAGTGGAATTGCTGGGTCATATGGTAGATCCATCCTTAGTAGACTGAGGAACCTTCAGACAGCTTTCCATAGTGGCAAATCAAAGCCACATTGAGA